CAACCTTCTTCACTGCACTCATCGCCTCTTTGAACATCCCTCAGTTATCAGCTGACTTGACTTCAGGGAACGTGTTAAAGCATTTTTTATCTCACGAAGCGTTTATTTCACGCTGTTTACAACCTCAGGCTTATCAATGCTACGTCTTCCATCGTGATGCCGAGTTCGAAACCAGCAACCTCACTGCTTTCAAGTCTCGTCTACAATCGAGACGGTAGAATGTCAAATACGAGAATTTACCGTTCGCTTTTCTTTTAAACATTTCACCACTTGATTCCTTCGGGACCACACTGCTCGACCTGTTTCAACCTACACGTCTCGATTTTTAATGTACCGATTAGTGGGAAAAGTTGCGCGGGTTAGTCTCTTACGACACAGCCATCACATCTTTGGCGAGCTCCTCATCGCGATGTATTTCAAGAACAAAGTCCATCTGTGTTCTGGTACTATAGAAGGTAGTGATGTTAGAATCAAGGTGACAAAACTTGGAATACACAATGACCAGGTTATGGGCGTCCGCATGCTCGAGGATCTGGTCACAATGGGCGTTCGTGACTCATAAACGAAACCACGACACTTGTGGCCGTCTTTCGCAGTGCCTATGTGCTCATTCAGATCACCAGCGATAATGAAGACGTTACGTCTTCTAACGGTATCTCAACAGTCTTTTTCTTAAGCAGGGACCAGAGCGCTGCAATTTCCATCAGATGTCATCAAAGCATTCCATGCTTGCAATCGTGTCACAAAAATGTCCAAAGACGATTACAGCCACGCCTTCAGTATCTTTGAGCCTGCCTGCCACACAGTATGGCTTCAAAGCTTTTCCAAGAGCACTGACATTGATCCGATCATATCTGGTCTTCTCATTCACGCACGCGGAGACATATAGAGGAAGCCACTGAAGACGAACTAGAGAAACTGAAAAGAAACTTGAGCGGTGGAAATCAGCGCTGGAGTGTCAAATCGGGCGCCATTTAGGGAATTTGCGCTGCTCTATTTATCCCTATGCTAAAGCAATGATGCGTGGAACTGTGTTCTCGGAATGAAGGGAAGAAAGATTGCTTTAGAGTTCCAAAGAAGAAAGAGCGAAAAAAAATTATAATCGAGGAGGAGGGTCCCGCAATTTCCATCCCGCAGAAACTCGGGTCGATGAATTTAAAATGTCTGATCGCAGAGAATGGACAACTGTCGCGCTCACCTGCGGCGCTGACATCCCTGCTGCAACCCTACGCCCGAGAAAATCGTTGACGATAAGGGAAGTGTATTTGAGTGATACCTTTCCTTGCAGAAGCACAAACGCATAAGCGATGCGATGCCTGCAGAAACCGATCTCCACTTAAAGACAGCGCCCGCGATCGACTTTGGCAGGTTGTAGAGAATTGTCAGAATTGTTAGAACATGTGTCAACTAAAGCATTAATCATCAGCAAAAAAGTAAACAAAAAGCGCCGCAAGAACATAGAATAAGACCCTGTTCGATCGGACGCATCTGGACGAGTTTCGCAGATTTTGGGTGAGTTCTCCAAACGTCGCCGCCTCGTTGCGGCTAATTCTCATGAGGCCACTACCTAGGTTATCTTATCTGATCTGATTAATCTAAATCTCTACTAGTGTACGAAAGGAACGCTAGAAAATTAGCGATTATCACTGCATCTTCCGCCGTGGCATTCAGT